CACTGCTGGTGGACCTGTAGGTATGTACAGTCATTATGGACATCTTGCTGCTTCCATAGGCATTGATTGCGGATGCAAATAAAATGAAATTCTTGACAACCCCAATCTTTTCTCTGTCTATCATGATGCTGCTTATTGGTCCAGTTGTGAGGGTTTTTGTTTCTTTGTGTTGAGGTTTGATCCAATTGAAGGCGGTGGTGTTTGATCTTCATGAGTCATTTCTTTAAGTCCTCTTTGCTTTCGGCAAGCAAGGGGGTGTCATTTGCATACTGCAAATTGTTCATGAGTTCCCTGTCAGCCTGATGGCTCCTTCTTCTTTATCCAGCCCAGCTTCTTGGATTGTTTGCTTCAGCATACAGATGAAATAAATACGGCGAAAGGATAGGACCCTAACCTTTTCGGATTTTAAACCACAAATTCCCTCTTGCTTTGTTCAAAGGGCTGACCTTGGTCTAGGTACAGGTTCTGCATGAGCACAATTAAGTGCTCTGGAATTCCCATTCTCTGCAATGTCGTCCACGGTTTGTTATGATCCATAAAGCCACATTCCTTCCCATCATCAGTTGCACACAGATAAACACCTTTCGGGTAGTGTCTGCTTTCAGCCAAGATCCATCTGACACGAGCAGTGATACCGCTTGTTACAAGTCTTCTTTTGGGTCCAGCTTTTATTTCTTGCAGCTTCCTGTTGATGTCTTGCTTCAACTAGTTTTGAATGATCATCAGCACAGTTTGACGTACAGGTGATATGAATGACATTGCTCAATAATCTCCACATTGTGTTGGACCATCTTTCTTTGGAAGGGGCACGCATATAGACCTCTTCCAGTCAGCTGGCCAGGTAGCTCTCTTCCAAATTCATGGTATAGAGGAGTGCACACTTGTAGCAGGGTTGAGACAGCTTGCTGAAATAACCTCGTTGGTATTCCATTAATTCCTGAGGCCTTGGGTTTTTCTGGTTTGGCTTTGGTTTTGCCACTTGGATTTCTCTCTTTCTATTGGTTCTTGATCATCTGCTGTCTGCTGAAATGGTTGAAGGTTGATCGATTCTTTTTGGTTCAGGGACCGTGCATTCCGTTCATCTTGTTTATTGACCATAGAACCCTTCGATATTAAAACCCAAGACTTGAATTTTTTACCCTTCAGTTTGTCCCCTTTAAAAAAAAAAACAAACCCACGTGTGTCCTTTCCTCTGGGTTTTCCAACTCCAGGTCCTTGCACATTTCATTCCAAAATGTACCTCTTCTTCTAGGGCTGCCCTTTGACGTCTTCTAGTCCCATTTTGTCCCTTGCCACTTCTTCCTTTCACTTGAGCTGTTCCACATCAAGAACACGTTTAGAATCGCTTCTCTCATCCATTCAGGCATTTTCTTTCTTAAAAAATTTTTTTTTAATTTCCTTTCTTATCTTTCCAAAGAGCTCTTTGCTTCCTCACGTATGACGCCCGCTCTTCGGTCAGCAGTATTCAATGTGCCGAATCCCATCTGGAGATGGTCTGTCAATTCAGATGACATATGCCCAAGATCATAATTGGGCTCTGGTGGACTTGTTTTCACTTTTCACAGCTCTAAGTTGATCTTTCACGTGGGCAACTGAGAGTCTGTTCCACAGCGGGCTGTTAGCCCTGTTCTGATGGAGGACCTTGAGCATCTATGTGGTCTCCTGTGGGAGCTGTGGTCCGTTTGATTCCTGTGTATCCCATCTGGTGAGGTTCACAAGGTGGTTGCCATTGATGCTGTGGAAGCAGCCCTTGGCCTTGCAAACTGCTCTCCTGAGATCTCCACCTTTGTTTCTGTCGCCACAGCCACCTTTGCCAACTGCTGATCCTTCTCCGTGTCCAACTTTCACATTCTGATCACCAGTAATTATCAAGATATCTTGATTGCATGTTCTACCAGTTCCGGGCTGCAGAAGGTGAAAAGAAGCTTCCATTTGGTCATCTTCGGCATTAGTGGTTGGTGGGTAAATTGGAGTAATCTTCCTCG